TACACTATCCATTAATAATACAACAGGGCGGTCAGTTCCAGGAACTTTATCAAAGTGATCTATAAACTTCGAAAACGTTGCAATGTCCATCCAACCTTTTTATTGAAGGCAATGTCACTACCTTCTGAAGCACCATTTAATGGATTGAACGACCTTGGTTTTGGTTCCTGATAACCAAAAAAATAGTGACTTCATCTGCGGATGTTTCTAAATTCAAAATTTTACTATTTCATGTTTAAATGTTGAATTCTGCTTAAGCCGGTGCTAGGGGGCGTGGACGGTAACTTGCACTTTCCAGTACCGTCCATGAACAGACTCAAAGAAACCGAGCCTGCAACATTTTCAATTTTGCCGTGTTGGGCTTTCTTTAGGGATTCTGTATTTACCTATTTCATCTGTCCACTTGCACTTCCACAGTACATGACGGTTAGCCTTGGTTTACCCGCTGTAATGTGTGGCACTGCAACATCCCTCCTTGATGGACCAATATCTTTAGCCATGTTGCTTTCCATGTTGAATCCTGTCTTATCTGCATTTCAGATACAAGAAGGCTTATCAAGACATCGTATGCTAATCAAGAAGTCTCTATATCCCGAATACCACTTATCTGTGACATTCTTAGTTACCTTTGAACGTTTCAGCTCAAGCGGAGTTTCTGCTCTGTTGTCTATTATGTGTGAATTTTTGTTCTTGAATGCAGCATACCACTGGTACCCAAGTCTTCCATTTTAGAATGGCGTTTTTCTATTCTCTTTTTTCACAATATCTTGGACAAAGTCAAGAAACTCACATGTTCTAAGACCCATTCCTCTCTGTTCCATTTCACTTAACCATAAGGCCATACTTTCTTCCTCTGCTTCAGTGAAAATAGTCCTTTCACCTTTTCAATTTCTACTTCACCTGAATACCTTCTATGCAGAAAACCATAAGACAAACTATATTCCTGAGCAGCTTTTCTCAAAGACAAATTATTGTTATATACGCTATAAAAGGCTCTCCATACACGTGTTTTATTATCTGGCGTCATTCGTTTACCCCTGTACTTCTTTTGAATTGCCTTTGCAGATTTCTGTGCAGGACTACATGTTGTATGGACAGACCTTTTCTTCCAAACCATATCCTTAAATAAACAAAAAAGTGGCTTAATGGTATACCTATATTTAGTTTTAAGGGGAAAGACAACAAATTACAGGCACTCAGGCTTTAGTTAAAATTGTTTACCCCTTTTCACTTTATTTTGTATACAGGAGCAAGGACTGTGAATGCCATGTACTATTTTGACATGAAACAATAGTATAAACATTTATCAATACTTTATGTTTACATTTGTATCGCATCCATACTGTTGAGATTCTCCTTCACAAAACGTGTGATCCGCTACTAGTCAGTTTATGCTATCGGATATTCAAATCTATATTTCAAGGAAAAAAACGGAACAAATTGGAAAGAACTATTTCGAATAAAAGTTTATATATTTACCTTGCAAACTGCAAATATTTATCGCTGAAAGCTTCTTCGATTATTCTCTCGTCGCGTGAATATTTTTGGCTGCTAGCCATTTGTTTTGGAAAAGTTGTTCCGGTTAGGTGGTTTCCTGCTTACATTTGTTAGTGCATGATTGAACGGGAAACCAGCTGCAATCGTGCCAATAGCAACTTTTCGGCCCTTTCCGTCACTCTTCGAATTAATGATAATAGCCGAGGTAGTTCCGATTGCAATCGTGATAATTCGGGCGATTCCGTCATACTGCGGAATCAGAGCTATTTTAGTTACTTCGGTAATCCCAGTTTGTTTATATAAATAGGATTTCTATTTTTACTTGATTTATCGAAATTGTTCCGTTTCAATTCTTTTTCAAGACGCAAAAGTTAATTTCTTTTATAATTGGTTTTTGTCTTTATTAGTTTTATACAATAGAGAGTAGTTACTGAAGTAGTATTCTGTCTGCAAAGGGCGGTTCTGCTTACCAAAATATCGTTACCGAATCACGCAGAATATTAGTGCATGATCAGGCTATATATAGATCTACTGACAGAGGTGAGGTAATCAAAAATAGCCCATCCATATCATTAACCTTACCACGTGTTGTCGGTGTATCTGTGATAATAGATATTTATCTGTAACATAGTTGAATTGGTACAATGCACGTTACGAAGTCTTTTAGTGCATTTACTTGTCTCTAAAGCTGCTATATAAATGAAATTAGCAACTGCCAAAACGAATGACTCTCTCTGCGAAAAAAGTGGAGATGAAATGTTCAGTATGATAGATATATAGATCTCCACGTGAGAGCCAATGTTAGTATTTTTAAGATTGATTATTTTCTTTATTAGTTTTATACAATAGAGAATAGATTTCGAATCGTTTTTGACAAAAAAAATATTCGTTTTTACAAAAAAAAAAGTTGCTACTGTTATCGTCAGCATGTTCCCGTTCAGTTATAATCCCTCTTTGGTCCAAATTTGCACGCATAACACTGGTGCTCAAACAAATGGGCACAAGTGCTCGTCCATTCTTGGGCTTACCCTACCTATCCCTTTAAAAGCGAAACTTTTTTTCGAGAAAAAAAAACTAAATAAACCCTTTACGATATACAAATACCGTAATTCAAAAAAATTGTGATAATAAATTGAAAAAAATTTTTTTTTAAAGGGATGGGATTATGGCACAACTGAGCAAGCCTTTCCTTTTAAAAGTAAACTTTATTTATTTTCAGTTTCGAACGACTCTCACAAACTCCGGATGCAAAAACGCTTTACTCGCTTTCCATTAATTAAGATTAAAACAGAGGCTTCTTTCCTGCTGTAATAGTAACCGTCTCAGGATAATGCATACAGCAGTTGACTGCAATAATTTTTATTATGGCCCGAAGATAAATATGTAAATTATTGTTTATCCAAAGTAAGAGTGACCCGCTATTTGTTACGATCCGGTAATGGCGAGTTGACAATATATATTTCATTGAAATGATAATTTGATTTAATATGTGTGAGACACTATAGCAACTGATATTGCTATGAGAAAAGAAAGAGTTATTTTTATAATTCTAATGGGGGCATATTTAGTTCCCCCCTGAATGTAGGAATATGTTACTATTCAAACAACTAGGTTTGAAATTACATACCTGAACGTTTCACAATTTCCTGGACTTAGCATCTCACCATCCTTCTTGTAAGAGGAAACCCCTGTCCAGTCATGTACAACACAAAATTTACCAATCCACCCGTCTCCTCTTTTGTCAGTTGCTTTTCTGGGCCCTTTTTCGTCCTAACATCCGGATTTTTCACGTGGTCATGCACGGTTGTTCTTGGCATATTAAATTCTCGTGCTGATATCCGAATGAACCCAACATAATTGTGGTTTGTTCACTTCTGAACATAATGACCTCTACACCGAACAGTGTATCATCTGAACTGAACATAATGATAGGACCCAAAAAAACAACACTGAACATAACGACCTTTGCACCGAACAACACATTGACTTGACTGAAGAAGATATAATCAGCACAGTGCCATTTAACAGTTCTGTTTCACGACTGAACAGAATGAATAAAGCACCCAACAGCATGTCATTACAACTGAAAATGATGAAAGTATCACCAAATAATACTCTGCCTCAACCAAACAAAATGACAGTACTACTCTCTGTTCATTTTCATGATTGAACATAATGAGAAGAGCACCAAGCAACATAGTATTATAACCGAACATAATAACTGAAACACCCTACAACATATCTTTTTAACTCAACATTATTGTGTTACCGCATTCCTGATTGTTATAACGACTTATGCATCCGACAATACATTGACTTGGCTGAATAAATACAGTCAGCACAAAACATAACACTTCAATAACTGATCACATTAGGATTTCCACCCAGCATATTGTATCTCGGACTCAACAGAAAGACATTTAATCAGGTATATCATTCATACTTAACATAAGACAGGTTAATTGTAATAACTAAAAAGGATAAATTAAACTCTGTAAAAAATTTAAGTAGTTTTAAAATACTTAAGTATATACTAAATTAAGTTATCAAAACTATCTAAGACCAAAAAATTATTAACGGGACCTAAAAGCTAAAGGTCATTTATAAAGCAAGGTCAATGTATGTATCATTAAAAGTCTATTCTCAAAATATTGAAGACAAATTCATTCATAGATAACTAAGATATAGCCTCTTAGGTACATTGTTGTCATATTTTCTAAGTTAGAAAATACATAATTATAATTATCTCAAACTTAAACTGTCAAGAGTTGCGAAACATGATGCGCACGCACGCACGCACACACACACACACACACACACGCACGCACGCACGCACCACACACCTACGCGCACATACAAGATGCATTGTAATTTTGCATTGAAAGTTCATGTTTGTCTTCCATATACTAATTATAAAGTTTTATTGTCAATCAAAACCAAAAAAGTGAGAATTCAAAAATTAATAATTTAATGTTAAACTCATACACATGTTATATACATGTACAAACTATAATTTCAAACCAAACTTAAGACAACAAATACACGCATGTCCTCAAAAACTGAAATATATACAGAGGAGAATTTGCATAGCTGTTGACACTGATATGTCATTTTCTTCTTTGATTAATTCAATGTTAATTAATTGGTCTATAGTGGAAAATCTTCAATACCATACATAATAATGTTGTTATCATAGTTTGGTGACCTTTCTGTTGAAAATGCGTCAGAGTTAAATCGTTTACATATACAAAAATGTACATGCACAGTGTGTTAACTGGAGTGCAGGTATTAGTTACCGGCACTCCTGAGCACGCCCATTGATTGGCTAATTTTTGCTGGGGTTTACTTATTGTGACGGCAGAGAAAGGAAACGCGACAGAAATATGATATTCAGATGCTTGTTCATTGGTTCCTTTCTTCTGGGGTTTCATAGTGCGACAACAGGGAACGTGTTTTTATGTTTGACTATGATACAATAGAGAAAGAACACCACCATTTGATACTATACACATTTAATTTAAAATAAAGTGTCATCTAATCCACAATTAATTGCAATCAAGCAACTGTCGTGTGGTCACACTTAACAATAGGACTATGTACATGCATTTTCCTATTTCATATTTTTCCAATCTGATTTATTTATCATGTACCTCTTCTTCCTTCCTTTCTCTCTTCTTCTTGTGTCACTTTTATCTATGGAGTTCCTCACCCAGAAATAATTACAACCCTGGTGTTACATAATGTCCCTGAACATGTATATATCCAGGGTGAGGTTCGGTTTTAATTTGTTTTCTTATATCCGAGAAGATATTTTTATTTATTTTTTCAAACTCTGGGTTTATTTTCTTCTATATAGAGCAGGCGATATTCACAAAAATCCTGGTCCCGATCTAAATAGCTCAGACTCTTTTAATTATACATCTTCCTCTTCAACGGTAAACGAAATCTTAGAGAGTTTCAATAACTCCTTATCAATTGTCCATTATAATGTCCAGAGTTTCTTCTCAAAGAAAGATATCGTACAAGGAGAACTACAACATTTTGATATAATTTCTGTCACAGAAACATGGCTTAACAGCAATATAGACTCGGAATCGATCTCTTTTGAAAATTTTTCTACTCCATTTAGAAAGGACAGAGTTGCTGATAACCATGGTGGCATTTTAGTATACGTTAAAAATAGCATTCCAGCCGTAAGAAGACAAGATCTCGAGATTAGTGGTATTGAATGTATTTGGATAGAGTTAACGATTCATCATTCGAAATTTCTTGTTGGCACCTTCTATCGCCCTCCAAATTCTCCTGCATATGTTCTCTCCAATATTGAACGATCAATTGACCTTGCCTTTGATACTAGCATTAAGAATATAATAATCACCGGTGATCTCAACTTAGATATCTTAAAAACAGCATCATCCAAGAAACTACTTGATATAGCAAATCAATACAACATGACACAAATAATAAACGAACCAACGCATTTCACAGAATCATCTTCCTCTCTGATTGACGTTTTCCTTGTTTCTTCTTCGTGTAGTGTCCATGCTTCGGGTGTAGGTGATCCATTTCTTGAACAACAACTAAGATATCATTGTCCAGTATATTGCTTACTTAACTGTCAAAAGTCACATGCTAAATCATTTAAACGTCTTATCTGGAAATATGATCAATGCAAATTTAATAATATGCGACGTGAAGCGGCTTCATATAACTGGGAATCCCTTGAAAGTGACGATATCGATACTTATGCTAGTAATATTAATGAAACCTTGATTACATTATCAAAAAAACACATTCCAAACAAAATAGTTACTATAAGACAAACAGACCCTCCTTGGATGCATAATGAAATAAGAAAATATATACGGAAAAGAAAAAGGGCATATGACAGAGCTAGAAAATCAAATAATATTGAACACTGGAACAAATACAAAACATTAAGAAACAAAACAACTCACCTACTTAGAAATGCAAAAACAGATTATACTAAACAATTATCAGAAAAAATAAAAGGAAAAAATTTAAAAACAACAGATTACTGGAAAATTCTCAAACAATTCATTAAACCAACAGTAAATAGTAAAATTAAGATTTTGAATGATAATGGCACCATATTGACTTCTGACACTGAAAAAGCAAATTTACTTAACCAATTTTTCCAATCACAATCCTCACTTGATGATAAAAATAAGTCTTTACCAAACTTTCATGTACATCAAAATATTAATAAACTTGACACAATAAATATAACTTATGATGAGGTACGTGATACTCTTAAAACTCTCAATGTTGGTAAAGCATCAGGACCTGATAATATCAACAACAGGATACTAAAGGAATTGTCAGAAGAACTCTCTGTACCTCTCTGTCATCTTTTCAGAAAATCATTAACAGCTTGTAAAGTCCCTTCACAATGGAAGCTTGCCAATGTATGTGCGGTCTACAAGAAAGGTGACCCCTCAATTGTTTCTAATTACAGACCTATATCACTTCTTAGCACGATCAGCAAATCTTTAGAAAAAATTATACATAAGCATATATTCAATTTCTTTGTTGCTAATAACACAATAACTTCATTACAATCTGGGTTTGTTCCCAATGATTCAACAACAAATCAACTTGTTTCTATATATAATACATTTTGCAAAGCCCTTGATGATGGAAAAGAAGTGAGAGCTGTCTTTTGCGATATTTCAAAAGCCTTTGATCATGTCTGGCATAAAGGTCTCATTTTCAAGCTTCAGTCTGCTGGAATAAATGGTGGGCTTTTAATCTCAGTGATAGAAAACAAAAGGTGGTTCTTCCAGGCGGTTCCTCTCAAACCGTTTTTATTTCAGCCGGAGTTCCTCAAGGGTCCATTCTAGGCCCTCTTCTCTTTTTAATCTATATAAATGACATTGTTCTTGACATTAACTCATATATCAGACTCTTTGGAGACGATACAAGTTTATATATCATTGTTGATAATCCACTTCATGCTGCGGTGACTCTTAATTCTGATCTGAAAAAAATTACAGAATGGGCAAATGGTTGGCTTGTAGACTTCAATCCAAGTAAAACGGAATCAGTAATTATCTCTCGTAAAGTAAACAAACCAATTCATCCCCCATTGACAATGAACGGAGTGCAAATAAATGAAGTGACCTCACACAAACATCTTGGAGTAACATTTTCTAATGATGGAAATTGGCATTCTCACATACAAAATATTACCAAAAAAGCTTGGCAAAGAATTTATATAATGAGATCTTTGAAATTCATTCTTGACCGTAAGTCACTTGAAACTATATATCTCTCTTTCATTCGGCCCCTTCTGGAATACTCGGATGTTGTTTGGGACAACATAACTCAACAAGATGAATTTGAACTTGAAAAAATACAACTTGAAGCCTGCAGAATAATAACCGGTACAACAAAACTAGTTTCTATCTCTAATCTTTATGAAGATACTTGCATCCAACCCCTTAAAGTAAGACGCTACAAACACAAACAAATTCTTCTTTATAAAATGTTCAATAATCTTTCTCCTCATTACCTCTCTTCATTAGTTCCCGATACAGTAGGAGAATCTTCAGATTATAATTTACGAAATGCAGACAACACTAGAAATATATTTTGTCACACACAACTTTATTCTCATTCATTTTTGCCATCAGCAATTAAGACTGGAACAATCTTCCTGTTAATTACAGAAATTCACCATCCATTTCAATTTTCAAAAGAAGACTTAATGAAGATGTTCAAAGTGTGCCTTCTCATTATTATGTAGGTGAGAGAAAAATACCAGATTATACACACAAGACTTAGAACACATTGTAGTTCTCTCAAAGAACATTTGTTTTCAAAAAAACATAATAGAAAGTCCCCTATGTGAATGTGGCGACATAGAAAACACATCTCATTATTTCTTCTCGTGTCCAAGGTACCAAGATGAACGAAATGTCCTCCTTAATAATTTAAGTGAAATAACAACTGTCACACTTAACGTTTTACTCTATGGTGATAATTCAATTGCTGACGATTTAAATGAAGCAATAGTGCTTCATATACACTCATATTTACACAGAACAAAACGTTTTGAAATGTAATAGAAAGTTATTTTTTCGACTAATATGAAATAGAGATTTAGATTCATAATATCTTCTCAAAAGTATATTGTAAACTCGTTCCATCAACTCCATAGTATTTTAGTGACCATTCCTGTTGTCTTTCTTTTTCTTTCTGTCAAATCTGTCTCTTATTTCCTACCATCTATTACCCAACAATTTCAACAATTAACTAACGTTTCCATTTCTTTATTTTTCTTTAAATCTTTTTAAAACATACTTAAAAGTTCTATTATTTTTCTTGAAAAGTTTAAACGTGCTAATCTGTGCATTTATCACTTACGTGTATTTATGCTATAGAACTATAGGGTTTTCTTTCACATTTTTATGTCAATATTCTATTATTAAGGTCGTTTCGATTAGGAAAACCAGAGTGTAAATTGCTAACTTTCCTGTACATGTAAAGAAGCAAGTTTATAGTGAAAATGTTATGTATATTTAACTCAAAAATGCATATAATTGTTACCATTTTACATACTGTTTGAGATAGTGATTACGGAAAGAGTTTTTAAAAAAGCTTTCAAGCTCACTACTCAATCCGTACTATTTATTATTTGTCAATTATCATGTAAATGTAATACTTATAAATAAAATATTGTTTAAACTAAAGAACACCAAACCACTCGGAAATCTGATTAATACTCGGGGGCTACGCCCCCTCGTACAAATCAGATAGCCTCGTGTTTCGGTGCCCTTTCTATTACATAGAATTAAGTATCATAAATGACAACAATAAATTAAAAAATTGAACATACGTGTAAATACTGTCATTAATTGTGAGATATTTATTGTAAACTCAAATGCAATTCTGACAAACACATGCACAGAGATTGAACCCATGAGCGTATAGTATGACCCCCTTGGAACCTTGACAGTATTTCTTGTTTATTGCCCGGTGTCTAATTCGGCATATATGTTTATAATGAAAATAATGACATTTAAAAAGCACTGATCATTTTTTCACGCAGTTTAATTAGCTATTCAATATGGCGACAATTGGCGTCACGGTCACGTGGCATATACGTTGAAGTTGAAATCGTGAATTCGTGAAGTTAAATTCGTGAATTCATGAAGATGAAATCGTGATTTCGTGAAGTTGAAATCATGAATTCACAAAGCTGAAATCGCGAATTCGTGAAATTTAAATTGTGAATTCATTAAGTTGAATTCATCAGTTGAAATCGTGAATTCGTAAAGTTTAAATCATAAATTCATGAAGTTGAAATCATGAACTCATGAAGTTCACTATTTCAACAGTTGAAATAGTGAATTCATAAAGATGAAATCGTGAATTTGTGAAGTTGAAATCATGAATTTATGAAGTTAAAATCGTAAATTTGTAAGTTGAAATCATGAATTCGCGAAGTTGAATTTGTGAAGTTAAAATTGTGAATTCTTGTAGTTGAAATCGTGAATTCATGAAATTAACAGTGAATTTATAAAGTTGTTATCGTGAATTCGTAAAGTTGAAATCCAGAATTCATGAAATGTCACCAGAATGGCGACTGTAGACCAGCTGTCCAAGGCACATTATTCTAATAATATGAATTGTTACTGAATTATATCCCTTTATTAACATATTCCTGTTTTCCGGTATGCAATTTAATTCAACAAACACTGATCATTGTATTCACTTCAAAATGCAGTCATATCTAAAGGTAACTGACCAAGATCCATGACTCTATCATGAAATGTTTTGGAATTATCCCTTTTGTGGATAAATTCTTAACTGAGAATAGTTGATTGGGTTGTTTATTTTACAGCTTTTATCAACTATTTTGTTTAATGTTAAAAAAGTAAATATTTTGTCACAAGGAGATTGTTTCTTATTCAAAATAGCTTATGTATTCTTTTATTTTTCAGGTTAACGAGAAAGCAGAGCTGATAAATATTATTTTCAGGCACCACCTCGTACCTGACCTAATACCATCACCACATTTCCCAGGAAGTCTAATGCTGAAAGTTAAAACAGTACCACCTTTGTTACAAACATTTGAAGCTGCCCTAAATGGTTTAAATGAGACTATATGGCTGCTCAATTCTTGAATCATGTACAAATGTATTTGACCAATATTTGTATGATTCTATACATTTCTATTTGATAACAATATATAGAATACTTTTTATAAACTTTTGAGGATCGGCATTTGGTTTAAGGGTTTTGTATCATGTAATATATTTGTAAAGGAGTCCAGAAATGAACTATAGATTGCATGGTTAAATTTACTAACAACAGTTATGTCGTCACTAATAGTAAAATTGTACAGAATATCTGTTTCTCATATCAGGTATCATCGATACTTATTTAACAACAAAGCAAAATTGATCAACTCTTATCATAGTAAACAAATTTGATAAATTCTAAAGGAATGGTATCTGATTGATAATAAAATTTTGATTATTGCTTAAAGCAGAACTTTGCTCAGGTTGTTATCAATTTATTGTATTTTATTTATTGATGTACATATACTTGTATTCATGGCATGGTGCAATGTTGATTCAATGTTGACTTTATGTAGTATTATTTATTATTATATGTCCTCTATAAAT